CACACACCCACACACCCAATCACACATGAGTACAGCCACACACAAAAGAAACGTAAAGTTATGCACACAAACCTCCTCACGCACCTTTACACAGTGGCATATTCATTGAACAATGAGATGTTGCACGTCAACAAGCATTTACGTCTGTTATACATACCACCCCCCTCCCATTTTTTTTTCATTCCATTTTCACTTTTGTCACTTGCACATACGCTCTCACAAATTTACTCACCAATACATAGGTATACACGCAGATACACACATTCTCTCTCTCACTCTCTTTCTCTATATTTCCCACTCCCTCTCTCTCTCTCTCTCTCTCTCTCTCTCTCTCTCTCTCTCTCTCTCTCTCTCTCTCTCTCTCTCTCTCTCTCTCTCTTTCTCTCTCTCTCTCACACACACACACACATACGCTCACACACACATACACACACACACACACACACACACACACACACACACACACACACACACACATATATATATATACACATACACACAGACGCACACAGAAACAGAGGGAAAAAACATGCAGACAAAAGAATGCAGCGCGCATAGAATCTAGACAAGACAAAACAATTTGATGGATGTCACGACAAGCCTCTCCGACAAGGCTCTGATCTTCACGGTGAGCAAACAGAGGCACTTAAAAAAAGAGAGTCAACGAGCGTTAATTTTCTTTCAAAGACAGAGTGGCATGCGGTTTCCGACATTTAAATCTTGAAGGTTCTAATCATCATTTTCATGTCATCGTTTAAAAAAAAAAATCCACAGAAGCTACAAAGTTTATTTATGCTATGTAAAGTGCTGTATATGACATCTTCTGATTGATTGTTGTTTTAATCCTTCTTTGACACAATTTAGATTATTCCGGGGGGTGGGCTGCTTCGGCTCTGCCTGTCAGAGCCACGCCCTGTTGAATGGGATACTGCACCCCCAGCAGACAGACTCGATTAAATAAACTTTCTCAATCAGGAATAGAAATCACGTCTTCGGTGTTCAAGGCGTTGAGTGAAAGTACAACTGCACAGACGCCGAAAACTTTTGAACTCTTAGTTGTGGAATTAAACAATCAACATTGCTCGTAAATTCAAGATCTATAAATATACCCCCTTCCCGATGGACACCCCTCCTATTTTACTGGCGGGCTAAAAAAGAAGAAAGGAGAAGAGCAAAAAACAACACGAGGGTTTAAGGGGGGTAGGAGTACTCGATGATGAAAAGGATAACAAAGTGAAACCCGTTAAACTTCTACCGGCGGAACACAGCTATCCCTAACAAAATACATTCTATAACCTAAAATCCCCCCTTCAGTGTCGGTGCACATTTTGTTGGTTTGTTTTTTCGGTATCGTATCGTGTTATTGATTCAAATCTAATCGTTTTTATTTTCCTTTCGGACCATTTTCGTTCCGCACATGCGCGACTCTCTGGACGTACGTCAGGGTATTTCCGGTTGCGGAAGGTTGGCTCCCATGCGGGGAGAATACAAGGGCACATGGCAGTCATAAAGTCTTGTCATCCGGCTGAGATTATAGACGTTGTTCTTTGTTTTCGTTTCGCTTGCACAATGCCTATGGTTTCTTTTTGTAACACATGCAACTGTAACTAATCTCTCATATTTTCTCCCCACAAGACTAAATATTTACCTATCACACCTGCCCATGCTCTAGGTTGCATCGAAACTGAATGAAGTTTTCGTATCATTCTACATTTTTGTCTTTGGGTGTGTTTTTTTGTTTTTTTTGTTTTTGGATATTTCTGTCCTATGTTGCCGCCTTCTCTTCCTTTCCTGGTAAACATACAAATAAAGGAAATGACGAAATACAAGTTATTAAAAAATTCTCTAATCAAATATTATCTTGGAAGATATTGGTTACTCAGTTCGTTGCAACTTATCCTTCGAAAAGGCAAACGTGGCCGACCTTAAACTTTTACTTTGTCAGATAGGAATGGAAAAGCAGGACCTATAGTGAGGTAATAGGGTCACTGTTATTTTTATTTGGGTGTTTTCATGAATGTAGCATGCCTTAGAATTTCATGTTGTAAGAAACGTTGAGAACACACCCCCAACCTGATATACGCACGTACATACTCACCCACCCTGTCATAAAAGAAAAACTCCCGAAAAGGGAACACATATGTGTCAAATTTCATGCATCCAGGGAAATAAGAACATATAATTGAGACTTTAGTATTTTGGTGGCGTGCTGTCCATGAAAAACAAAACACAGTTCAGGGAAATTGGCTGTCAAAGTCGATCATGATCCACCGTGATAATGGGAGCTATGCATAAGAAACACAATGCGGAAAAAAAATGGCCATCAAGGTCGAAAGTACTGAATTCAATATCTAGACACATAATTTAGGTATTCAAAAGTGCAAAAGCGTAAAAAAGATATTTTGACTCAATTTAAAGCCAAAGTCTCACCAGACCACAACCCCCCCCTGTCCCTTAGGAATCGCGTATCGTAGCATAACGCCGTTTATATGTACACATACGGAGTCGATACAGATGCAAGTGGCAGAAACAACACTGAGCTGTAACATCCAGCCTCTTGTCGCTAGTATTTTCCCTCTATTATAACATTATTGGTTCTCGGTGATCTATTTGTTTTGTTTGATTTTTGTTTCTTATTTCTGAGCTTACACCTGTAACAGATTTCCCACCGTTTCTCCTCAATAAGCTAAATATTTACGTTTCACACACGGCTGAGCTCCAGATCGCTCAGTATACGTAATAAATTGAGGATATGGAAAGCGTTTGTTTTTCCAAAGGTTATAGAGGAAGAAACACAAGCAAGGAAGAGTCAGACTTCACTTCAACGAGAGTCACACTTGAAGGAGACGCACAACTAAATACGCAGTGCTATATTCTGCTTCTTCAGGTGTCAGGTCTGGAGCATACATTGACGATCTTGGTACCTCACTTCGCCCAAAAATGAAATGATCATAGTATAATTAATCTTTGTAAGGATCTCAACTGCCGGTAGCAGTGTTTGAAATTTTGCGTACTACCTCTTTTAAGGGACACATCTGTTTATTAGATGCACACTTACATACAATATATGATTTGTTACAGGTTGCTTTTACGTGACTTACTTTGGGGTCTAAGATAGATCGGACTATTGACATTTGGTTACTATTTTCCCTCTTTCTTTGCCAGATACCAAACCTCCCAAATTACGGTAACTTTGCCCTTTTGGAATACCTTTAGTATGAACGTTTCAAGACGTGTTTGCAGCTAACTCTTTGCACATTCCCTCTAGGTAAGAGTTAAAGCTTCCAATAGATGACATTATGATTGAGGAAAACTATCGTATAGGACAAACAAATACCCTAACGTCCTCTTTTGCGGAGATCGTAAGTCATTAAATCGGGCACTTTGGCTGTTGTCAGTTGTCTAACCTCAACAGCGACAACAGGAGTTGTACACAATTATTATAGTACTTTAAGTAACAAGGAAGTAAATGACTTTGTTAAACCCATGCCATATGGAATCCGCTTTGAGAATGTAAAGTAAAGTTGTTCCTGCATCCGATCCGGACATTGGGGATGGCCTTGTTAGTGAGACAACTTCCTGGGCGTAAGTAGTTTTCAATGAAAAGCTTCTCAGCTCCAACGGACACAACTCAGGAAAATGCCGAGGTCTTTTGAATCCCAGCAAATATGAATTATGTTACTGTAAGAGTTTGTAATTGCTGTATACAACCCACAGTATACCTTAAAGGGATCTAAATTTGGGATTATATTGTCAGATGTATTTTATAAAGATGAAATTTTCAGCAAAATTTAGCGTATAGCCCATACTGTACCCACTTTCGGAACCCACAAGAGATGGTTTCATTTCATGGAGCATCTCAGAGCCTGTCTAGACGCGTCGGGACCCTGACGTGTGAAGATACATAAACCACATGACCTTTTGGGGAACCCTAGCTTCTAAATTTGTGCAGTTCCCCTATTAGAAGCTTCTTCTTCTTCTTCTTCTTCTTCTTCTTCTTCTTCTTCTTCTTCTTCTTCTTCTCTCTCTCTCTCTCTCTCTCTCTCTCTCTCTCTCACACACACACACACATACACACACACACACACACATTCTCTCTCACGCTTTCTCTTTCTCAGTTCTCCCCTCTCTCTTTGAGTGTGTATACGTGCGTGTCTGTGTGAGTTTGTGTGTGTGTGTGTGTGTGTGTGTGTGTGTGTGTGTGTGTGTGTGTGTGTGTGTGTGTGTGTGTGTGTTTGAGAGTGTCTGTGTGTGTGAGTGTGAGTTTGTGGGTGTGTATGTGAGTGTGAATTGTGTGTGTGTGTAAGTTTGTCGGTTTGTGTATGTGAATGTGTTTGCTTGTGAGTGTGTGTGTGTGTGTGTGTGTGTGTGTGTGTGTGTGTGTGTGTGTGTGTGTGTGTGTGTGTGTGATAATTTGGTCACTTAAAAATAGGTAGGCCTACATTGTAGAATGTATTGTACAAAAAATCAGTTGTGTGCAACTTTCAAAAGACCTATCAAGGGTTAGCGACAAAAAAAAATCATAACAGCATGTGACGGTACCAACACTGAAAACCAAGACTGTTGAAGGTACAATGTCTGTTTCTTTTTGTTTTTAAAAAATCTTATCGTTCGTTTGTGCTCCCACTCTAGGAAACCAACAGACTTTTTCCTGTGAGTGAGATCACGCAAATATGCATCGGATGACTGTGACGAGTAGGTACTTCAATTTGTGATTAAGTACAGACAGAGGGGAAAAGGGAAAGTAAGGGCTGACCACTTCTATAATCCTGTGGAAGCTCAAGACTTTTGGTGCGATTAGGGGTAACAAGCGATCAAACAAACAGGTTAACAATACAAGCAGAACCGTGCAGTTAAATGCATTCAGTTACAACTCAGGGTGCAGTAAGAAAAGGCAAAGTCCCAGCCACTTCAATGATAAGTAATTGAGATAAATAGGTAATGAACGAGAGAACCAAAAAAAAAAAAAAAAAGAAAAAAAGAAAATCACATCTAAATACCTGGTTTGGTGATCGGCGGGCCTGAAAGAGAAGAGATAATATAAAAAGGGTAAAATAATAGAACCAAAGTACAGGAAACTGATACATGATAGAGTATAATATAAGGTAGGTATAAGCAGATGTACAATCATTGCAAAAAAGGGAGTTGGTAATGTTGTTTGTTTTTTGTAATGAAAAAGAGGCTTTTTTGCTGGGGTTAAGGTGCATGGGGAAATATCCATCTAAAACGAAGTGCTGGCTATCTTTAATACACCGAGAGGTTGGATTGTGTTGGGGATAGGGTTTCTGTAACACTTTGGCAGGGAAAATAACCATCTGAAAACCAAGATTCTCCTACTTGATACACCAAGAAGTTGAATTGTGTTGTGGAGAGGGTTTCTGTAATACTTCGGGAATCAATCAACAGTTTATTTGATCAGTGGGTTTACTTTTCAATGCAGTCGTGTTTGAAGACTGCAGGGTGTCTACAAATCCTTACTCATGGGAGGAAATCCAATAGCCTCTCTGCTTTAATATTGCAGAAATGGTAATACTTACCCAGCTAGAAAAAAACCTGATTTTTATTTGTAAATACATGGGGAACATTTATAGCATATTCTAAAAAAGCAGCAGTTTGTATCATGAAAAGTAGCAATTTGTATAGAATTGTATGGCTTACCATACCGCTTAAACATGGAAACGTTTTCTGAGAGTTTTGATGTCGGATTACTTTTATCTGGAAAAGTATGAGAAGATTAAATGTTATTCCGAAATGGATGAGCTCTTACACCCTACTGGGTACTTTGGGATCTTGAGTATCTGCTGAGCCAATTCTAAAGAGTATCCTTTTTAAAACTGGCTGTCACAAGATGCCAGATCAATGTGGAGGTAAATTTACAGTTTTTGAAAATGCAACAAAAAATGATGAAATTTTGATTCTCTTAGAGGTTCGTCAAAGCCACATTTAGAGAAACTGTAAACAAGGAATGCTACAGCTAATTCAGCTTATTATACTGTATAAATGTAAAGGCTTTTCCAAGAAACAGGGAAGCAGGTTGCAGAGACAGGGTGAAGCTGTCAACTGACAGGCAACGCAAGAGGAAAGAAGGGTATATAAACCAAAGTCTATAATTTGTAATATCATAAAACGTACAAACACAGACAAGCTGATAGGTTGAAGTAAGGAGTGGTTTGGAAAGAATATTAAAATAGAAAATAAACAACAACGTAGAGCAGGGCGTCGACTGAAATGAAAGAGATATTATGGACTAAAAGGGGTACACATTTTTTTTGGTTCAAAAGTTATTTCAGAGACCCTTTGTTCTAACCGTGAACTCGAATTTCCAAAGACTGAGTAAACCGTTCAAAGTTAAAAAAAGATACAGATAGTCTTTGTTTTTTTGTGCAAAAATCACCAATTGAACTTATATCAAGAGAAGCACATGATTTAGACCATTGTACTTTAAGAACGGCTTTAATTGTTACATATCCGTATCCCTCAGTCATTTGGAAAAGAGAGTTTTCGTGTAAACATAGAGGGTGACAGAACTATTAGTAACGGCCGCAAACAGCTTCCGTTTTCACTCACCCACGACGTTGAGAGTGACAAATCTCACGAGCCCGGCCTTGGAGGTTATCTGACACTCGTACACGCCGGCGTCTTTGGGCTTCAAGTGGCGTATCACCAGGTCCCAGTTGGTGATTTGACCTGGTTTTCGAGAGGGGTCCATTGATATGTTGGGGTCTGAAGTCCACGTCATCTTTCCTATCGTAAGGAACCGATCCTCTTCGATTCGACGCCAGACAACCTAAAAGAGAACAGGAAAACAAACAAAGGTCAAGATAAACGTGGCTTCACTGTCCCAGCCAACTTTTGTATGTCTCCTCCTCCTTCTCTCCCGCCTCTTCCTTCTCCCTCTCTTCCTCCTCTTTCCCCTCCTCCTCCTCCTCTTCATCCCCCTCTTCCTCCTCCTCCTCCTCCTCCAGGTTCATTGACATCGTCAGTTGTTTTCCAGTACTTCGATGTGGGAAACATCATTCTCACTCCCCTACCCGTGTTTCTGTGTAAACTGATCTTTCATGCTTCACGTCACGGTATGTTTTCAACTCAAGTATAGACAACGCTCAGTCTTGAACTTTTGATGGGAGAAATGGCTTACCAAAAAGCTGCTGCCGAAACCTTTTTCTTACTATTGTCAAGAGGAAAGAAATGTATAAATATTTGGTACGGGTAACATAAAACATCTTCGCAAACGGACAATCGGCAAGAATGGCAACCCGATGGTGATTTACAAAATTGAAATGAGAACATATGGTCGATCAATAATGCAACCCCGCACAAGAGCGAACAATTTCCTGGGTTTTTTTTATTTACGAGGAACAATCACATTACCCTGTCTATTTTTTTCTCCTACTCCAGTCATTCTGTTTCTACAATTGTTACTCAATACATTTTCGCCCTTGTCAAGGGTCTGGGACTACAGTCAATTTGATTATCGTCTGTCTGGAAACGTCTCGATTGCAGTACGGAGCAAGATGGTTTGCTGCGAATATCAAAGAGTTGAACCTTACAAATTCATGGATGCAAAGACAAATTAGTTAATTTTTACGTGACCAAGCGTTTATACAAGCCTTTTCGTCTTTGATATACACATCTACAAACAAAGAGGTGCATATTTTTTCCCGTCGGAAACTGTAAAATATTCTCTGAGACAGAGCACGTTTGGAACCTCGTGCAAAAACAAACTCATCGTGCAAAACCTGGAAGGAGTACAGCTATATTCAGAAACACACACATTCCAAAAGCGGGTACGCAGGCACTAGGGCAAGGCTTGAAAAGACTGCACCTCTTTCTTTTCATCTTTCTGTTTGATCTTTGCGTTGCTCCCCTTGGGTAAAGTTAAATTTATTTCATGGGCAGGACTCACGAAACAACGCGGATCTCCGATGGGACAGAGCGAGAGCGAAACTGGAAGTGTTCCCTGATAAACTTGAAAAACATGCATGTCTGAACAGGCTTTGGAGGACTGTGAGGACTACCAACAGACCCTTACAATTGTCATACATGCAAGACAAATCCCAGCTGTTGTGAGGGGGCGCTAGAAATGCGTGTTCCCGTGAACGTTTCAAATTACTTTGCCTTCTATGAATATATAGCCGCTGAGTGGTTTCACGGAGAGTCTGTTTGGCACGTATGCGCTGACCAACATCTTTTTTTTTTGGTAAGTGTTTTACGGCCCTCCCAACTGCATTTGGTCACATGAGCGCGCGGGACACAACGAACATTTTCAGTGGGTAGGAAATTTGGAATTTTGCCCGAGTAGTGACCGAAGCCTACTCTTATCAGTTTTAGATCACCAAGAGATCTTTAACGTGTTCAACTTGCACACGGTCCCTCCGAGATTTTTCGCCATTGTCCGAGAAGGCTAGGTGTAGATTTTTCCTACCAGAAGATCAGGGGTGTGGCACATAAGACAGCAGTAAGAAGGAGCCAAGGAGCAGCAGTAGAAAGGTTGCAGAAAGAGTCAGGAGCCCAGAAGAGGGGGCAAAGGAGATGAGGGGGTGGGGCAGAAAGAGGAGACGAAAACAGACGACAGAACATTGCTTGAGAGCAGGAACGGAGGTGAAAGGAGACAATTTTAGAGAAGAAAATGTTTCGGTTGCTACCCTGATTCGTACCCGGGACCTTTTGAATGAGAGGCCAACACCTTAACTTCTAGGCCACAAGAGCCCCCTCCAACATCTCTGTACACCGACTTGGAGCTGCTCGATTTTAGACTAAATTGTCAATATGTGCATCTGATAAATTCGGTAGATGTAAGTACTGACCAAGCACTTCTGTAGGAACCTGTAGGCTGACTGGGTTATGTGAGGGTTCCTCATTTATTTACTTGTTTTTGTTTTAATCACGGAATTAATTGGAAATCCTCGTTGTTCCGTGAGTCGTGCAAATCCGGCCACACTTTGTCTACTCTTTTTAATTTTCTGTACATTTAGCACGAAGATTTAAAATCATCTCATTACTTACGGCATCTCTTTGTAAGAGACTAACTTTTACCGGTTCCAATGTTCTGTTGTCTGTCAGATTTCCCAGTGTCTCTGAAATCAAGCCCACAACCCACGTTCTGATCCCCTCCCACCCCTTTTTATTATTGAGTTTCTATAATGTGAACCTTTTGCTCTAAGGTTGTGGTCACATTCTCTTTGAAAAAAAAAGACTGAGAGAGTGAACAATTTGCTTCTGTCACGGCATCGGCTGAGAGAAAAGTTACTGGATGGGTGGGAAAAGGGCTAATGATAATAGCATTCATATATGAATGCAATTATCATGAATTACTGCTATTATTATTGTTAGAAGGATAAGTCGTACTCTGGGAGTAATTTCCGTGCAGCAACCCTTGGATGTTAACATTTATTTATGAAAGCTCATGCTCCAAAATATTACAACAACTGAATACAAAGAAACAAGACGGCAAAATGTTTAAGGAATATGAAAGCTCGTATCCAACTATATAACAGCAACCGAATACAAAGAACCAAGAGGGAAAATATTTAAATACGTTTTTAACCAAATCCGATAAATCTTCATTCCAAGCTTCTTTAGATTTGAGGCGAGTGGCAAATATGTAATTTCCAGAAAAGCAGTTAAATCTTTGCGTGGCAAATACGAAATAGGGATAAGTCATGGGGGCCAAATACTACTCTCCAAACAATTTGAAAGTCGACAAATAACAGAGACGATTAGTCCAACACACGAACAATAGGCAGGAGCTGTACACACCAAATAGAACTTGACAGTATTTCCCCCTTCCATTTTGCCTCTCAACAAAACAAGAAGAAAAAAACCCTCTACAGAACTTAGAAATTCTTTTCTAAAGATTAGTTCGCCATTGACATGACCTACCACACCTTCTAAAGAGTACGGTAACCCCCCCCCCTCAACCAACCACGCCCCCCCCCGCGCAACCCACCCGTTTGACAGCCAATCAAAGCCGTTCAACAGCTGACAGACCTCAGAACCGTGAGGTCTTTTCTCCTCGAGTAGAGCTGACTGTTCAAATTGCGTGACCTCAAAAGGCCTGGAATTACTGGAAAGTACCGTAAGTCTCCGCAACTCCTCACTTTATTTACCCACGCTTGGGTTGTTCCCGAGTTTTGTGGAATTTTAGGCTCAAAGATCGATGGCGTCAGCCCCAGCCCCCAGCCTCAAAGGATGCGTTAGTCGTGGTCTAAATACTATCCGAGGGAACCGTGTGGGGGAAAAGAGATTTTTGATGTAAACCTAACACCCGTTTTACACAATGTTTTGTGATGGAGAAAGAGAGAGAGAGAGAGAGAGAGAGAGAGAGAGAGAGAGAGAGAGAGAGAGAGAGAGAGCAAGAGAGCGAAAGAGCGAGCGAGAGAGAGAGAGCAAGAGAGAGAGAGAGAGAGCGAGAGAGAGCGAGAGACAGCAAGAGAGAGAGAACAGAAGAGAGTGAACGAATGAACAAAAGAGAGAGAACGAAAGAACAAGAGAGAGAGGATAGAGAAGGAAAGAATGAAAGAAAGAAAGAAAGAAAGAGAGAGAGAGAGAGAGAGAGAGAGAGAGAGAGAGAGAGAGAGAGAGAGATAGAGAGAGAGAGAGAGAGAGACGGGAGAACGAAATTGAAATAGTACTTTCACGTCACATGATTACACAAACTACTTAAGTGTCTAAATCTTGGTGCCGTGATTTCCACGATGTAGGTCACGCTGCCACTGCTGTCAGGACGAGGCAAACCGTCAGTTTTTTCAGTAAATAGATCTGACGCCCTTTTCAATACTGGAGGATTATTCAAGAAGCGGGACTTCCCAAATTTAACGTCTACATCCGAAAGGACCCAGCCATAAAGGCGGAGACCATTTAACTCCTTAAGAAAAACAGCAATCCACTAATACCCAACGTTCAGAACGCCCCGTTTGGAATTCAAACCAAAGCAATCCGCTTTTTAGTCCAGTACGATATCATGAACTAGGCTGATGTGCAGCCAAGTGAAACATTTTCGAGAAAAGCAATATTTCGATCATGATACATTAAACTGAAATCACCACAAAAGTGATTCATCCTCCTATGTGATGTAGATTTAAGGAGAAACTTGTACCTCTTCTTCTGAGCGAGTGTTTTCGCTATTGTATTGAGCCCCAACCCCCTCCCCTACCCCGTCATATAAGTACAGCATCTATTATGTGTTTCTTATCTTTAAGTAGTTTAAGTGATGCTGGTATAATGATTTCATGTTAACATGCTCCAGAGCATTCAAAGCACTGTTCGTCTTGGCATTTAAAGAGGAAAAATTTGGGTTTTCTTTTCAATGTAGACTAGGCGTTCTCTACGCCCTCATCGACACAATTTAGATGATTTAGGAGGCAGGCTTACGACCCTGACTGCCATGACCAACCCGTGATGAGAGGAATACAAGATTCCAGCAGAGAGACCGAGCTTCTTTGTGATGAAAATTTGGTCCCTATCCGAGAATCGAACTTGGATCCCCTGCGTGAGACAGCGAAGCGTCTAATACGGGGTGCCCACCCCTGGATCGGACCGATCACCCGACTCAGTCGAGTGAAACTCAAAGCAAACACGTTTGTTTTTGAGGCGACCGAGTCGAGCGACGGGCCCGATCGGCCCGATCGGCCCGATCGGCCAATCCCATCCGTAGTAGGCACCCCGTATAACCGCCACACCAAAGACATCAGTGGTAATTTTGCATGTTTCAAAGCCTTCATCCCACTTGACTTGGCTCCATCGGCCTGCACGTCTTGTACTCTGTTCCCTCGATGTACTGACGCACAACACGGGGTTGGTTCAC